CCTCGTGCTTCTCGTAGCAATTCAACTTTTTCTAAGAAAGAGTTAACTGATTCTTTCTGATTTGAGCCAGTGAAAAAGATATTTCATTTGTATGGAGCAACTGATTTATTTGAAGGGAATATATTGCAGTTATTAGTAGGGAGTGTAGGGGTAGAAGTACTGGGAGGAGGAGATACTTTCAAATCGAAATTAGCTTCCAATTCCAACACAAGATATTGAATTTCTTTCCTGGCTGTTTCTTCATCCTCATCATCAGCTTTAAGATAATTGAAACGAGTTGACAAATGAGCTAATCGACTAGAAATTCTTCTGAAGGCAGGATCCAACTTAGAACCACTGAATGAAGCTATAGCTAATTTTAAATCTTCAATACTTTCTTTCATTTCAGTCACATCTTCATTATGTGAATAAGGATTCTCAAAGGTACCATGAAAACTGCGATTAGCATTTTGTTGACTCAAAAGTCCTCTCGAAATTTTACGTTTGGAATCAATGTTTCCAGTAGGTTCTACACTACGAAGCTTGAGCTCATAAGTCAATTCATTTATTTTCAAATGATTCGGATCCATGTTGGACTTGGAAGATAAAATTCAAAGCACAACTAATCAAAGATATGAATTATCGAAAGGCTTGTACTTTTGGGATGCTTCAGAATTATGTCTTATAGTGCAGAAAAGAGATGAAAGAAAACAATTATCAAAGTCAAAAAGATAATGAAAAATAGATACCTAGTTGAGATAAGTTAAAAAAGATAAAATACCAAGTTCTTCAGAATCAGATACGCAGATATGTCAAAATTTGTTATCGAAAAATTCCAAATTATAATTTATTTGGTCTTCCGTCAAGCAAGGATGAGATAAGAAAAAACAGTCAAATCGGGCTCCACGTTGTGAGCGACAATTGTGTAACACTCCACACTCTGAGTTCAGAATTTGAAAAATTTTGAAACAAAAAATATGAACATTTATACTTATGCCTTCGGGCTGCTCAGATTGATACGGTAGGGTGTGAGTTCAAAAGTTACAATTTTACTGTTAAGATGGTAATCAAGTAATATGAATTCTAAGGATGATTTTGAAGTGATTAATTTGACTGTTAGATATATTTGGGCGCCAGGCTTGCGAAAGACAAAAGCCAATTAGATGGATGAGAAGACAAAACAATTATACAAGAAAATCGGTTCAACAATTTATTTAATAAAAATAAAATACAAGAAGGCTGAGGGCCAGATGAATTTGAAATTACAATAAGGTGTTGAATGAAGGGCTGAAGGCCCTAGAATGAGGTTGAGAATGATGAAAAGACTGAATATAAAAACTACAGTATTTTGAGTGAAGTGGCTGAAGGCCCTAAAATATTATTGAAAATTATGTGAAAATGTTTGAATAGGAAAAGAGAAATGGAGCAAAATAAAATCAGAACATTCCACTTTACAAGAACAATTGATACATCTGATTCCAATCGAAGGTCGTGGCACTTGGATGGATTATACCTGGATGTTTCGATGAAGTATCCAAGAGGGTTTTCTTAGGGTAAATTTGGAGTTCAACCTTCAGTCAGTGCAGCTTCCAGCTCTCAATTCTGCTTCCAGAGCTATCTAGTACAGTGGTAGGTACTTCTTAGGATGGAAGTAGTTATAGTCTCCTGCAGTTCTGACTTCGTAGTAGGGAACCTCCTTTACCAGTCCGTTACAACCCTCTGTGGTTAACAAGGATCCTCGAGTCAGGTATCGTCGTAGAGTGCATGCGGAAATATACGAGGAATCAGAGTTTTGTCGACAATGTGATAAAAGGGACGAAGGATATCCTTTGAACCGCTTGGTTAGCTTTGTGTTCTGATTTATAAAATGTTGAAAAAGGTAAAAAAGTTGATATGGAAAACTGAAAAGTTAGATTTGAAAATTTGAAACTTATTAATTCAGAAAAGTAATGAATGCAATTTGACTACAATGAAAAAAATTGTGTTGAGAAATTGATTTTGAATTATTAAACTGGAAAAGGCAATAATAAGTATATTAATAATCCGTTATTCAACCAAAAGATGAATTATTTGAATGAATCAAACTTTTGAGATATCCTGGTATATTGATATATTATATAAAAAAATCAGTGAAAATTTGACTTTTCTAATGGAAATGGAAATGGAAAAAGCAATCAAAGAAATTACTGATTATGAATATTAAATGAAGGTGGCAAATCCTTCAACTAAAATGCCAAGAAACTACTTTCTAGTAAAAGTAAAAATTTGTATATTTATATACAGGGTGGCAAGTCCTGATTCAAAAGTAAAATGCCAGATAATAGGTAATTTTTCAAGTTCGAAGTTGACAGGTAATTTACTTGTCCGTGAAAGTACAAGAAAAGGTATATATATATATATATATACAGGGTGGCAAGTCCTGTTCAAAAGTTAAATGCCAGATAGTAGGTAAGTACTTCAGGTGTGAAGTTGACAGGTCTGGAATTAAGATCTGATATATCTGGAGATAAGGAAATAGACATGCATTGATATGTAGTTTGTTGAGTTGACCAAGGAAAATACTGACAGTAAGATGGAGAGAAAAATCTCACTCCCAGAAAACTTGAACTATAGGTTGTGCTTTCGTCACAAGAAGGCAAAACCTATACAGGAACCAGACAAATTTTGACCGAACAGGCTATAGAGAGAAGGAAACCTTCCTCAGGTTGCATTTATTTCTCAGAGAGAATGAAAAATGACTTGGAAAAGAAATTCACAAGTTGATAATAGAAACTAAATGCTCACCTGAGAAAGAATCCTGGAAAGGTACAGCCTGGACGTCAAGGTTCAACTTCAAGGCTCTAGGTCCTGTAGGCTCAAGGCTCCTGGACGAGACACAGAGGAAACTTCAGTTCAGGTTTCCTGGATGAACTTCTGAGGAAAGTGCAATGGCGTTTTGAATTTCCAATAGGTACCTAGAAAAATGTTCAAAAGAGTAGATACTGTTTTCAACTTATTGAATGAGGAAAAAATTAGCAACGAAGCTGATGTTGATAGCAACAATTCATAAAAAGCAAATTTAAGCGACAAGGCAGATGAATCCAGATTTTACTCAACCATTAAGCTGGAAAAAAATTGTATATGACTCATAAATTTGTCAATTTTACGAAAATATTATCACCAAGTGCTAATACAATATATGAAGAACTCAAATATCCAATAAACTGATATTGATGAATAATTATTACCTAAGAAACCATCAGATATGAGTTGTAACCTCAATTAACTAGAATGCAATTATTTCTCACAAAAATGAAATTCGATCAGAAATATACCAATTAATAATTAATTCAATATACAATAATCAACTCTAACAAACCAAATGTCGGCGATGACAAGTTATTTCATTCGAAAAATAAAGATAGATCCAGACCTACCAGATATCTTCAATTCCCACAACCTATCACTTCAACCTTTCAAGTCGGTAGTTCAGATCAGAAGCACTTTGATTTTCCTATTCGTTCTTCGCGAAAGATCCTGTCATCTCAATCCTTCTCCTGATTGGTTATTTAGTCTCCCTTCTTCGATCTTCTGTGTCGCTGTCTAGCGGGAAGGACGAGCGCGCAAGACTTGATGAATTCGATATGGTTATTGAACCGTTGAAGGGCTGATAAGCGGAAGTAGATAGAAGAACGAATGGACGTCAGATAAATAAATGGTTGATTGATTGAAAAACATCTCAATGGAACGGAATAATCGTTACAACATCAAATAAAGAAATTATAAACTCATTGAATGTATTTACTATATCTTCAACATCCTCCATCAGATATATATCATACCACGGCATAATTCTAAGATCATTCATGAAAGTCTCGTAGTTGACATATTTATAATCACGAAAGGTCCGATAGAATTGTTTTCGTTTTATAGGTTCATAAATCAGCTCCGCATATACTAGACAGTGGTCAGATATTTCATCAGCATCTACAGTATAGGTATTCAATACTAAATCGGGGTTGCTGACAGCAATTACATCAATTAGAGTGCTACTTTTATTGTTCACCCGTGTTGGCTCATTATTCATAATAGTTAATCCATATGCTTCCAGAAAATTTGAAAAATCTGTGGTATTTTTATTGGAATAGTTCAGACAATTTACATTTATATCGCCGAGTAAAATTATTCCATCTACAAGTGGTAAAACCAAGGGAAGTGTATTTTCTAATGATGTGATACTGTCAGAAATTCTCGTATGGAGTGGTCTATATAGACCTTCCAATTCCTATTTCAGAATCAATGATTTTGAAATGAATTCTGGATGCAACAATGTTATTTTTATAGTAAACTGCTACCCCTTCACCTCTTCCTGCTCGATCTTGTCTCATCATATTGTAGCCACCAATATTTGCTTGATTCGTTGATATGTTAGTGGAAAACCATGTCTCAGTCACAATGATAATATCAAACCCGTGTTTCAGTATGATTTGTTTGAAGGAGGTCAATCCGGCAAGCAGTGATCTCACATTTAGCATATAACTGTGAAGAACATTGCAAGTTGGCTCCCAGTTCACCCATTACCCACAAACTGAGAGAAAAAAAAAGTTCAAAATCCAAAGCTCATATAGCTACTTGTTTCAAGTAAAACAATTTCTGTTTGATTTTGATTTCAATGCGTAAAATGATTGTACTCAACGTTCCTGGAGTAAAATTAATGAGATACAAAAGAAAATTCGAAATTGATTGAGGAAGCAGATTGAAGCGAATGTACTCGGACAAGTACCAATGTGAAGCTTGAAATTCCCCATTGTATTATGGGTAAGTATTTCCTAAACAAAAAATGTTACAAACCACATCAGCTTTTCCATAGATTATATGTATTTATTCTCATCAAAGTACGGGCAGGAACGTTGTACGTTCGGATAATTTGGCGAACAGATCCTCTACCATGTCTAAGATCTTCAATGGCATAACGATGATCTTCAGACCATAAAGCTCTTACGTTTTTCCGAACAAAACTACGAGGCATCTGGAACAAAAAAATGCAAGGGTAATACGCCGCTGCTGGCATAATACTCCCTATTGCATCATATGAATAAATTCAAAACGTATTACGAAGTGTCAAAAACTCAACTCAACATTAGAAAATATTCGACACGGTTCTCACCTTTTTATTGACGTTATTCACAAAAAAACTGATATTTTCAATTTGCCCACAATTCACCGGTGTTTTCTGTCAAACATTAATATGGCTCAATGAACATTGTTGTCAAATGTTGACTTGGAGCGAGAATATCAAACTGCGGCACATTACCCAGTGCGGCATATTCACCGAACTTAGTCTATAACACAATTAAGTCATTGTTTCATCAGATAAGTATATGAAACCGCAGATCTACGATGTACCTCATTGAATTATCGAAAACAGTAAAACAAGAGCAATTTTATATTATTACTGTAGAGAAAATAGGTACTCTTGTCAAGGTTATGTTCGGGTAGGGTGAGGATTTTTCACTTCACGCACACATCTCACCTAGACATATCTGAACCTGTATTTCAAGAAGTCGAATGAAATTAAAGAAAAAGTGTACCTAAAGTCTCAATGAAGTGATCTGTTAAATAAATTAGAAGTACAAAACATTTTTTTATGAAAAGCTCTTATTTAAACGCTCTAAAAAGTATATGAAATAAAATGTTCCCCCATGATTCTAACTATCAACTTATAACCTCATCATACACAATTTGAATGATCATGAAAGCTTGTCGCGATGATCAATATTCAATTGAATTGAAATTTTAAAAATATAAACTCGGCAGATTTCACAAAATTGAATAAGTACTAGTTTATTCACACGAGTAAATCGCGCGAGAAGCTTTCATGGTCATATAAATTGTGTATAATGAGGTAATAAGTTGATAGTTACAATTAAAAAGGAACGTTGTATCTCATTCTTTTCAGAGCTTTCGATTAAAAATTTGGTTTCACTTCTAATCTATTTTTTAAGGTCGTTTGCCGGTTAACTTCGAACAGTCCAGCTCTTCAATAAGAAGAACTTCTTATGATTTTACACATAATTTTTACACATATTGTGGAAGTGCATTAAAAATAAATACTTCGCCATCTTGGATGGTCCGCCATATTTGATTCAGAATGACGTCACATTATTTTTTGAGTTACTCTCAACGAGCCGTTTTATTTGATACCCATATTGTGAAAGTAGATTAAAAATAAATATTCCGCCATCTTGGATGGTCTACCATATTGGATTCAGAATGTCGTCACATTATTTTTCGAGTTGCTCTCAACGAGCCCTTCGATTTGATTTCCTCATTCTAGAAGTGCATTAATTATAACTATTCCGCCATCTCAGATGGTCCGCCATATTGAACTCAGAATGACGTCACATCATTTTCCGAGTTTTTCTCAACGAACCCTCTCATTTTATACCCATATTGTTGAAGTGCATCAGAAATAACTATTCGGCCATCTTGGATGGTCCGCCATATTGGATTTAGAATAATTTTACACACCTTATAATAAACTTCAATATTATTTGAGAATGAGATACTCTTCTTCGGATTCAAACTGTAGCTGGTTGCATTGAGTTAGGAGAATTCCATCAAAAACATATTTTATTAAAGTCCACATACATGCATTAGGTACTATATCTAAACCCTAAACAAAGAAATATACCTAAAAAGTCCCCCGTGAACTCACTAACCGAATCGCGTATGAATGTTCATGAACTACTCACAGCCTTTCAGAATAACCATTAGTCATAAGAGTCGGGTACCAAATCAAAGATCCTCTGTCTGTGCCTCTGTAGTAACAACCTTCCGTGACTGCTCAACTCAAGTGGTTTGACTCCAGCGCTGCCAACAAACTGCTTTGCCCTGTATATCAAGATACTCGAAGATTCTTATGTTAGGTTCTCTCCGGTGAAAAAGATACATGCACTTTTTGAATGCAATCCTTCCCTTTTTCTCTTGTGACAACCTCCTGTCATCTCCCTTTCTTCACCTTCTTGATTCCCCATATTTCAATATATAACGAGTGCTCCTATTGCAAGGCGTGTACATTGTAGTTCATAAGGCCTGTATATCGTAGTTCACTTCAACCATATCGTGCATTGTCATCCAAACTAACGTGTACACAAAATTTCAGCTCAATCGGTTGAATATATCTACTTCAGCATTGAGTTCAAAGATTCCACCCAAACTAACATACATACATACATTACAAGTTAAATGAAAGCTTTTATTTCTGACAGTGACATTATAAGCTTATATCGTCATAGTTACGATATCTATTATGAGGGTCATAACTCCCTTGGGATGTTATAGATGCTATAATTCCCTCTAAATAAAATTAAATAAGAAATGCATAGCAACAACCACGCAGTAACGTAGCAATAAGGAATCTCCTATTCGCGGTAGTCAAGTTCATCATCTGACGTTCTGATGACATTGAAACTATACGGAAAAACATGTCTAACTTCCAATCGGGAAGGTATCTAATGAATGAAATCAGTCAGAAATAAAATTATCTATGTATCACGGGAATTACTGAGCCTCAATAACCTCAGGCAATTGCTGTCCCTCGGGCCAGAGGCCCTCGGGACGCAAACTTTGCCATCGGTAATTAAGGCCCTCATAATTCCCTTAATACATAAATAACTATTATTTCTGACAGTGACATTATAAGCTTATATCGTCATAGTTACGATATCTATAATGAGGGTCATAACTCCCTTGGGATGTTATAGATGCTATAATTCCCTCTAGCTAAAATTAAATAAGAAATGCATAGCAACAACCACGCAATAACGTAGCAATAAGGAAATTCGCGGTAGTCAAGATCATCATCTGACGTTCTGATGACATTGAAACTATCTATACGGAAAATCATGTCTAACTTCCAATCAGGAAGGTATCTAATGAATGTAATCAGTCAGAAATAAAATTATCTATGTATCACGGGAATTATAGAGCCTTAATAACCTCTGGCAATTGCTGTCCCTCGGGCCAGAGGCCCTCGGGACGCAAACTTTGCCATCGGTAATTAAGGCCCTCATAATTCCCTCAATACATAAATAACTATTATATTTTAAAAAACATAAAACGTTCTAGAAAAAATCTGTCATTTTTGCCAATATGAATTCAATGATTGATGTCTTCCGAATATGAGAATGTATCGAATGTATGAGAATGTATCGTTGTGACGAATTGGTATTTGTTGAAATAGTTTGATTTCTCTTTGAAATCTCCGTCGTAGGACCCCCAGATTTTTGTGAACATGAATTTCAGGCCGTTCGCCAACAAATATTATATATTTCCAAAAGAAGCCATACTCAATTCAACCCTATCAGACAGTGGATCTTTCAGTAGAGTTTCATGTAGTTTTTCCACATCTGAACGGGTTCCTTATTTTTTCATGAAATATTTGACTGATTGAGTGATTTTTTTCAGGTGGAGTTCGAGGAGTTGTGTGGAGAAGAAGCACTTCATTTGTCAAACAAAAATCAGAACTGTCACCCACAAGGACAAAAAGAAACTCCAACGTCAGTATAATGCTAACAAGTATAATAAATTGAACGAGATTCTGGCGCCTTCGCTTCCAGAATACGAAAACGGTACTTTTTCATTGAAATCTAATGTGCCAATTCAATACAGATTTGAAATAAACAAGAACCTGAATGATGAAGCCATGTTTGCCTTCTCTCCTAAAGACACAACGGTGAAGGAGAGAAAAAGGAAAAGAAAACGAAAATCGAGGAAATCAACATTGAAAAAACTTGCGAATGGAACCCTGATAGAAGTTCCCAAACTGAGGAGAAGAGGTTCTAGGAAGAAGAAACAAAACGAGTTGATGGATTCTGGCCAGCATACTTTGATGAAGAATATAAGATGGAGGACTTACAAGAAAAAGGAAGAGTCTAATCCATTGTATCCAAGTCCGATAGTGGAGGAATACAATTATGTGAAAGAATATTGAATGCATTCACTGCGAAGATGATACTTTCAACTAAATATTGTATATTCTCAATTTCAGGAATCAACATGAATATTTTGAATGAGACAATTTGTTATCCAATATTTGTAATCAGTTATATATTCAATATGGTGCTATCTCAAATCAACCACCCAAGAGAAAATTCTCAAATACAATCGAACTTTATTTTCATTCACGTGTTCGGTTATATTGATTTTTCATTCCTGTTGTCATCTGTGTGACTATTTCTGAAAACGGTGATTTGGCTCATGCGACTCATTTGAAAGGGATTTAAATTATTCATCCGAACGTATCAAAAAGTTTGCTATTTGACCGGAAAATATCAATGAGCTGAAGAATTGAATCCACATCCCTAATAACACACTTATGTCCCATGGATATCCTTAGGACGTCCTGTCGGGACATTCAGGACGTCCATAGGACGTTCTAATTTGGTACCGTGGACGTCCATTGGACGTCTGTGGGACGCACAAATGTCCCACTTGAGGACCAACTAGGGACCTCCTTGAGGGATGTCCCTTGGACGACTATCGAATACCTAAATCCTACAGTATTCCTCATCAAGCACTACAGAGGACATCCTTAGGACATCCATAGGACAACCTATCAGCAACGCTGAGGGATATCAATCGGATGTCCATAGGATGTCCCAGGGACGTGAGAATTATTCTTGAATTTGAATTTTTCTGGAACAGATCTTGCATAACTGATTAGGACATCCAGTTGAGTTGATGGTCCGTAGAAGGTCCCCAAAAAGTTTCCCTAGGATGTCCAATGGATTTACGTGAAGGACATTGACGAGGAGTACTTATAGCCTACGAGCAATCATTCGTCGGCGAGGTGTAAGTTAACGTCCTCGCAGGGACAACATATTGAAAGTACCGACTGGGACGTCCATAGGACGTTATTTCCAGGACATAGGACAATTCATGTACCAATTGGGACATCTGACGGATATCCCTAAGGGGCATTGGAAGAATGTCCCTGAGGGACATTTCGATTGTTATACGATCTTGGAAATATTGAGAGGGTCTGTACAGAGATATTTGTAGGAATGTACCATTAGGGACATTCCATCGTTGTCTAGAAGGGACATAATATAAGATCTGAAGTCATGTCAGAATATGTACTACTCAGGACATTCGATGGATGTCCCTAAAGGAACGTTTTAAATCATATCCCATCAGGGACATGCCAAGGACGTCCTTGCATGGATATTCTACAATATGTACCACGTGGGACGTCAGGAATGCCATTTCTAGGACATTTGAAATAATGTACCAGCTGGGACATCCCGTGGACGTCCTTGCTCGGACATTGCATGAGATGTACGGGATGGGACGTCCCAAGGACACTTATTTTTGGTTCGGGACATTCGGACGTGAATTGTACCAAATAGGGACGTCCCTAGGACGTTTTGTGCTATTAGGGATCGTAATATTGCTATAAACTTTGGAATTCATGAAATAAGTTCTAGGAGAGTTCGCTGCTCATTTATTCATTCATTTATTCATTTAGAAAGCAAGGTAATCCAACAGGAGAACTATACAAATAGTCCTTCCAATAACAGGATAACACAGTGATACAAAATTATTATCTTTACATGGGTTGCACATACTTACTATTATTTAAAAACTAAGTACCTACCTATTCCATAGCTTTCATTCAATGAAGAAAACAACAGTAACGTCGGTATATATAATATCAACATACAGGGTGATTCACATAAGAACCGACATAGAGCAGGGGCATGTAGGGGGTCCCAAAATATGGCAATTCAACGCAACTTACCTCTATACCAAGTTACTTCCCTGAGGAGTTATAGGCTTTGAAAGTGAAGTTATAAATTTAGAAAAAAATCAGTATCTCCGTTATTCTTGAACTTAAAGCAACCAAATTCGGTACACTTCGTGGATGTATTTAGGGCGTTACTTGACAGTAACTAGAGTTGAATTGAAATTTGTAAAGGGGGTATACCGGGTGGCGCACCATTGATATTCAACAGAATTTTGTTAACCCTTGATGGATTTTGAAAATCTTTGGTTTGTTTTGTGGGCAATTCAATTAACGGAGATATTGATTTTTTTCAAAATTTATAACTTCACTTTCATAGCCTATAACTCCTCAGGGAAGCAACTTGGTATAGAGGTAAGTTACGTTAAATTGCCATATTTTGGGGCCCCCTACATGCCCCTGCTCTATGTCGGTTCTTATGTGAATCACCCTGTATATGAATATATATATATAGGTAGTATTTTGGCACAGACTGAAAAATTACAATTTCGATATGACTCAAGTATCATTAATGAATACTAGCACTATTTCTATATTTTTATATTTAAGAATACTATGGAAATTTAACAAGAATTCTCCCAGTTGTTTCTTGAATCTTTTGATATCAAGGTGAAATATATCAATATCAGAGTGGCAAATTATATTGTACGAGTTCATACATCTTATCAGAGGTGAATTACTATAATAATCAGTTGAGAAAGAAGGTGGGTAGAAAGTAAGTCTATTCCTAACCATTCTAGGATTACAATTCAAGCTCAGGAATCCAGTGCATGCTATTGAATCAATATGATTGTTGAAGATCTTGTAAATAAATAATATGTCAACGAAGTCTCTTTCAATGAAGAGATTCTCTACTATAGAAACTTGAGTTGCTCTCATAGCTCATGTAGTGACGGAAGCGGAAGAATCTATAGTTCGAATTGTTGACCAATATTTTTTTTAACATTTCCAATTTGATTCACATATTTGTCATACACGGGATTCCAAATGGTAAAGCAGTATTTAAGGATAGGCCTGACTAATTTTGAAATTCTTTAGTATTTCTCAGAATAAATCCCAGAGTACGGAGTGCTTTTTTAACAACAGCTCTAATATGTGATTCAAAAGTTAATTCATTATATAGTATTACTCCTAGATCTCGAACTTCTTCAGTTGTTGATATTATCTTATTATTGATATATAGGTTTTCAGTGATAGGGTCTTGCGATCTAGAGAATAGAACATTATAACATTTGCTCGCATTGATAAATAATCTATTCGTACTGCAGAAGATTTGCAGTCTTTTCAGATCTTCCTGGATACCCACGTAATCTGATCTCTGTTCAATTTTACTATAAATTTTCAGGTCGTCGGCGTATATAGCAAAATTTGAGAAATGGAAGCATTGTTCAACATCACTAACAAATATACTGAATAAAATGTTCATATATCTTAAATAAAATCAACCAGTTGCTACACAACCAAATTTACCCATGCTACGATAGGAAAGAGAAGCTATAAATTCTTCTCGAACTTTTAATATAGCTCTCAGATACATTCTTTGCGTCCATGGATATTTTGTGATCGTAATTCTGACTCATGTATATGGTTGGATTGATCATTAACCCATCGATGATGTCATCATGCAGATGACGTCACGTATGAAATTGAATCTCACGAAACGTCTGTCCGGAAATTATAAAGTCTCAAGACTTTTTAAAACAGTTGATGAAACAGAGTCGTTCAGATGGTCAATAACTGAGGTATCGACTGAAGTGGCTGTTGGGTATACAACTCTAATGTATGTATAGGATCCGTGCATTTTCTGAAGGTAAATCCTCATTTACTTCATTGATATAAGTATTTCTTACTTCGAAAATTCTTAGCAAATTTGATTTGAATGATACATACTGAAGTTTCTGAGGTTGATGGATACAAATTTCAAATGAGAATTCGCAAATTCAACATGAGGCCCTTAAAATGCGAATCATATTCGTGATTCTTGGTTATATTCGTCAGAAAAAGTATAGCGGAGAGGTTTCGGAGTTTGGGAAAATGAATTCCAAATCAAAAATTCACTGATTCAGGATTGTTGATGATCTTAATATTTTCAGCTGATTTGCATAAAACTATGAATTTGGGAATTCTGGTTGGCTATTAGGAAAATGGATCACTAGGCAAAATTCGATAATTTGAAATTTTCTTCCATTCTGAATTTTCAAAACGAACCTCGAACACACACACACAACAATAGAATGCTAGGAATGATGATGAGGAATATAATGAATATGTAAACTTTTTTGAACGGATTGTTGAAGCTAAATAACAATTTTCAATAGCATTGAACATACTTGTGAGATTTGGAACAAAAAATTGGGGTGCATGCAGACGAAAATTATAAGAAATATAAGAAGTATTGTAGCGAGAACTCACACAACCATTTATGTCATCCCAAGGCCAATTGAATTGTTCTACTTGTATCAACACGAGTGATTGATCTCTCTTTCAGGAACCTTCAAGTCTATTCAAAGGGAAATTGATCAATTCATGTTTCATGAGAACGGAATTATTTTCGAATAATTCACTCCTTATTACTTTGTACAACATGAACTATGAACCGATGGATCAAGACCTTCGGAACTAATAATCACACTACATGGTTTCATCACTAACTCAACCGATTCTCAGCGCCTTTTCATGTGTTTTGCTGATTATTGTAGCATCATCGGGATTTGCTATGTGTGACTTAACACTATGAAAGTTTCAAAAATGTGAGGTACGACTCAATCTCGATATCTTGTATTTCAACCCAGATCTGCCTGAATGTTTTCTTGTTCAATTTTAGAGTTTTTTTGGTATTGATAGAATAGAATAGAATAAAATATTTATTCATCCTTTGTGTTCATATACATGAAATAGGACATGTCAGTCGAGAAGTATAAAAATGTCTGAGATTAAATCGTAATATAAACCGACATATTAAAAATAAACAATCATAACATCCATAGAAGAATCACAAACAAACAAAATACATTGGGGACATCTGAATACAAAAAGTTGAGAATTGAATATCAGAATTCAAAAATCAGAACATTCAAATATATAAAGTTAAGAATTAAATATTAAAAATTAAAAACCAAAAACTGTACTCCCAGTTGACTTATAACTAAGGTATTCAGGTATTCTCTGACTTTTTTCTTGAAGACGTTGTATGATTGAATATCTTTCAGCTCAGATGGTAAATTATTAAATAGTTTTGTTCCAGCCAGAGAAGGGGTCTTTTCATATAGGCTAGTCGAATGTTTTGGGATAATTATTTTGTTACCATGCCTTGTTTGGTATCGGTGATTGTCACAATTCCTGGTTAAAAACTTTATATTTCGTTCATTATAGCATAC